ATGCAATTATTATGTAAAAGATAGTATTATTATAACTTATGTTTGTAATGCAACATTTTGTTTTCTTTTCTTTTTGAGACAGAGCCTCAAGCTGTCCCTCTTGGTAGAGTGCCGGGGCATCACAGCTCACAGCAACCTCCAACTCCTGGGCTCGAGTGAGTCTCCTGCCTCTGCCTCCCAAGTAGCTGGGACCACAGGCACCTGCCACAATGCCTGGCTATTTTTTAGTTGCAGCCATCATTGTTGTTTGGTGGGCCGGGCTGGATTCGAACCTGCCACCTTAGGTGTATGTGGCTGGCGCCTTAGCCATTTCAGCCACAGGTGCCGAGCTGACATTTTGTTTTCTATATAATTTAAGAGATTTATGCATTTAGAAGCCTTAATTTGTGTTTGGGGGCACACAATGTATAAAGATGTAATTTTGTGATATCAGTAACCTACAGGGGTAGACATGGAGCTGTAAAAGAGCACAGTCTTTGTATGTTATTTGAAGTTAAGCTGGTATAAAATCCAAATTCAAGTATTATTAACTTCAAGATGTTACATGTAACCCCTTTAGAAACCACAGATAAAATAACTATAGAATCCATGTGTATGTATAAAAGGAAATAAAAAAAGAATTCAAATGTTTCACTATAAAAAATCATTTAAAAACAAAAGAAGACAGTAATGTGAGAAGGAGGGATTTAAAAAGCTATAAGAAAAAAAATTAAAAGCTATAAGGCACATAGAAATCCAACAGTACAATGACAAAAATAAGTGTCTCCTTATCAGTAATTACTTTAAATATAAATTGATTAAATGTTAATGTAAAAAGGATTATGCATCATGGTAGGATATACAGCAAATGGAATTTATTCCTAGAATGCAAAGATGGCTCAATATATGAAAACTGATCAATGTAATATACCACATCAGCAGAATGAAGAGGATAAAAATCCCAGTCATCCCAACTGATGCAAAAAAGCATTTGAAAAAAATTCAACATTCTTTAATGATAAAACACTCAAGAAACTAGTAATAGAAGGAAACTAATATAAAAATCATATCTGGAAAAACCCACCACAAACAATTACACGCAATAGTAAAACACTGAAAGCTTTTCTTCTAAGATCAGGAATAAGACCAGGATGCTCACTTTTGCCTTCTCTAAGGTAGAAGGTAGTTTTAGCAAGAGAAATTAGGCATAAAAAAGAAATAAAAGGCATCAAACTTGGAAAGGAAGAAATAAAATTATCTCTGTTTGCAGATATTATGATGTTATATGTAGAAAGCTCTAAAGATTCTACATACACACACCCAAAATTTATTAGATCTAATAAATAAATTCAGCAAAGTATCAGGATACAAGCTCAACACAAATCAGTTACATTTCTATACATTAACAATGAACAATCTGAGAAATTATGAAAACAACTCATTTATAATAACATAAAAAAATACAATACTTAGGAATTAACTAAGGAGGTAAAAGGTTTATACAATGAAAATTACAAAACTTTTCAGAAAGATTTGGATGGACAGAAATAATTGGAAGCACATCCCATGTTTATCTATTGAAATACTTAATATTATTAAGATGTCAATACCCAGTGTGATCTATTGATTTAATGCAATCCCTATCAAAATCCCAATGATGCCTCTTGCAGAAATAGAAAACCCATTCTGGGCAGGCACGGTGTCTCACGCCCATAATCCTAACACTCTGGGAGGTGAAGGCAGAGTATTTCTTGAGCTCAGGAGTTTGAGACTGGCCTGAGCAAGAGGGAGACCCCATCTCTACTATAAATAGAAAAATTAGCCAGGCATCATGGTGGGTGCTTATAGTCCTACTACTTGGCAGGCTGAGGCAGGAGGATCACTGAACCCAGGAGTGTGAGATTGCTGTGAGCTAGTGAAGCTATGTCACTCTGGCCTGGGACAATAGATTGAGACTCTGTCTCAGGAAAAAAAAAAAATTATCCTAACATTCATATGGAACCCCAAATAATCATAACAATTTAGGAAGGAAAAAAAAATCCAGAGGAGGCATAGTTCCTGATTTCAAAACTTACCACAAAGCAAAGTAATCAAAACAGAATGGTACTGGCATAAAGACAGACATATAGGTCAATGAAATAGAGTAAAGAGACAAGACAAGATATAAACCCTAATGTATATGATTGATTTTTACAAGGAAGCCAAAACCATTCAATGGTTCTTTTTTTTTTTCCAGCAAATGGTGCTGAGACAACTGGATAGCTACACGCAAAAGAATGAAGTTGGACCCTTGCCTAAACCTCCTATACAAAAATTAACTCAAAATGGAAAAGCAAGACCTAAAACTGTAAAACTTTAGGTAGACAGCAAGGACAAAGATTCATGACATTGGACTTGGCACTGATTCATTAGATATAAAACCAAAGGCATAGTCAGCCAAAGAAAAAAAATAAACAAATTAGACTTCGTGAAAATTTTTAAAGTTTGCTCATCAAAAGACCATATCAATAGAGTTAAGAGGCAAACCACAGAATGGGAGAAAGTGTTTACAAATCGTATACATGATAAAAGGATTAGTATCCAGAAAGTACAAAGAATCCTAAAACTCAATAAGCCAAAAAAACCTCTCAAAGACAGGCAAAGAACTTGAGTAGACATTTCTTCAAAGATTTACAAATGGCCAATCAGCACATGAAAAGATCCTCAAAGTCACTGTCAGGGAAATGCAAATGTAAACAAGGATGAGAGATGCGATGTGTTATCACCTCACGCCCTTTAAGATAGCTATCATGGGGTAAAAAACTCCACCACAAACATAAAATAACAAGTTTGGCATAGATTGTGCACTATGGTAGGAATGTAAAGTGGCACAAACTCTATAGAAAGCAGTATGACAGGTTCTCAAAATATTAATTCTGTTTCTGGGGATATAACCCAATAGAATTGAAAGTGGGATCTTGGAGAGGTTATTTGCACTTTCATGTTCATAGCGGCGTCATTCACAACAGCCAACCCCATGTCCATTGACAGATAAATGAATATACACACTGTGACAACATACACAATGGAATATTTTTAGCCTTGAAAAGGAAGGACCTTCTGACACTTGCTGCAACATGAACCTTGAGGAAATTATGCTAAGCCAATCACAAAATGACAAACACCGTATGATTCCACTTGTGAGAGCTACCCAGAGAGTAATCAAGCTCATAGAGACACAAAGTAGAATGGTGGTTTCCAGGGACTGGAGGGAGGGAGAGAGGATTGGGGAATTGTTTAATAGGTAGAGAATTTCAGTTTTACAAGACGCCAAGAGTTCTCTAGGTGGAGGGTGGTGATGGTTGTGTAACATGAATGTATTTAACACCACCTAAGTGTATACCTAAAAATAGTGAAGATGGTAAATTTTGGTATATATATTTATCACAATAGAACAATTTAAAAATACATGTATGTATGTGTGTAAGTATGAGACAAAACTAAAAAAAAGAATCAAAAAATCCAAATAGGGTGATAAGCTCAAAATTCAGGTCAGTTGTTATCTGCCCAGTGGGGAGGGTGAGGATAGGACAGAGGAGGCGCACACAGGCGGGTGTAAGTTATTGGTAATATTCTGGGTCTTGTGCTAATGGTGTGTAGACAGGTGTTTATTATGTTCTACACTAAATAAATTAAAATGGGCTTCCATGGATGGAAGGGAATTGTGTGCCAGGTCCAAGAATTATGGTCAATCTAATTCTGTCTACCTAGGGGCAGATTTGAATATGCAAATGTACCTAAGGATATGAGAAATGGCCCTTCTCTGCTCCCTGATGAGCTCATACTGTGATTGTGTTGTTTGCACACAAGTTGGTGACTCTGGAAGCCCTGAATGTGTCAGGAATAGTTATAGGAATTCTACACTGGAGAAGACAGGAGGGATATGTGAGCTATTACAGGGAACAGGGATAAACTAACTCATTCAGGCTCCCAGGAACAGAGAAAGATGTGATGGCTAGCTGTGAATGCTGGCAGAGGAGCACAGGAGGAACGTGCTCAGATGGGAACACGGGAGCTCTGAGGTGCCGCTGCACTGCAGGACAGGGCTTGATGTTTCCAGCCTGTGAACACAGAGGGGTCTTAGGGCCTTTCTGGCTTCTTATTGCAGAAAAGTAGAACAATTTTGAGACTTTCTGGACTGTATGCTAAAATATAAAAATGGGATGGAGCTGGGCATGGTGGTTCACAATTGTAATCCCAGCCCTTTTTGAGGCTGGGGCTGATTGCTTGAAACCAGCCTGAGTTCATGACCAGCCTGAGCAACACAGCAAGATCCAGGCTCTACAAAAAATAGAAGTTAGCTGGGCATGGTGGTGTGCACCTGCAGTCCTAGCTACTAGGGAGGCTGAGGCAGAGAATCACCTGAGCCTATGAGTTCAAGGTTATAGTGACGTTTGATTGTCTAGCCTGGGTGACAGAGCAAGATTCTGTCTCTTTAAAAAAATGAGTTGGGGTTAAATAAAGAGGTGAGTTATTTTAAATGGAAAGTGATAAGAGGTGGCTCTCTTGCAAACGCTGTAATGCACGTTTTGTTTTTTATCTGTATTGGTAGACAAGGGGGCTTTTCCCCGCTCTGTTAAGTTGGCCACTAATCACAGTGTAACCTGTGACATTTCCCACCTTGCTGCTTAACACTTCAAGTGAGTAGGCCTCATTTTTCTAATGAGGATGTAAACTTCTTGAGGTAAAGAATAGTTTCGTCCTCCTGTACAGCTCCCATGGTGCTTTACATGGAGCAGGAGCTCAGTGTGGGCACTCATTGGCTGGTTCCACCGTGTCTGATGGCTTCATTTACTCACCCTTTCATTCACTCACCCTGAATAGCTCTTTGTTGGATGTGTGCATATCCTGCTGTGGGTGCTCTTGGATCGGAGGCCATCCCCCTTTGCTGGGAACCAGGGTGCCAGAGTCCATCTCCAAGGCCCCACTGCCTTATTCCCAGGGAAGGAGCCCAGAGGATCATAGAGATGCCAGGTCCTTACCTGGATAGATTCTGAAGAATCCAGTTGAGCTGCCAAAATATTGCCAGGTCAATGTCGGGTCTCTCTGGAAGTTCTCCACAAAAACAGGGTTCAGGGCTTCTGACATGTAGACTCCATTCAAAATATCTGGATCTGAAGGGCGAGATGACAAAGATTACAGCTCTGCAGAGCTCTCTGGAAAAACAGAGACAAACTGTTAAAAGCCACCTGTGTCACCCCGCACCACCACAGCCATCAAAACGAGCAGATGAGGGCCTGGCCGCAGGGACGAGGGCTACCTTTATTGTACACGTTGGTGGGCAGCTGCACGCTGCTGACAGACGTGTTCACCCGCAGGTTGCTGAAGTGCGCGTTGGACTCCAGCACGAGCTCGGCACCCAGCTCCACGTAGTTGCCCTTCTCATCTCGCTCGTTGACCAGGCCAGAGTTGTAGTAGTTAAACTGGGGCAGGGAGGGCCAGCAGAGATGCCCAGGTGCAGGGACATGCAGAGGGAGAGAAAGGCACAGTTTAGAGGCCCCCACAGGTGAGAGGGGCCGGGAGGCTGCAGTGACTGCGCGAGACACCTGGGTGGAGAATTCTGGCAATGGTCAGGGACATCACCTGTGCAGCCATTGGAGTGAATGGCTTGCTGGGTTTTGATGAAGATTGTCCTGACTACTGCTTTAGCTCTCTACCTCACATCATGTGTGGGACACAGCCAGAGTTGGGGACAGAGCTGGCGGACAGAGATTCAGGGGGGAGGAGACAGCCCGTTGTCAGGCACCACTGTTCCTGCCTCACAGGAGGCTCCAGAAACCCAGAAGCCGCCTGAGGCATCTCTGGGCCTGCTAGGGTGGCTCCATCCTCTTGTCTGTTTCATGCAGCATTGGAAGGTTCACCTAGCTTGTCCCCGCAGAGCCTCTTCTTCTGCCCTCCACACCACCAGGCTCATACTCTGACCATGCCCACCAGGACTGCCTCGGTGACACCTCACACTGACCCCCCAGGCTCCTGTACTAGCTCTACCCCAGGATGCTGTGGTTAACATTAGCCTTCCCCAGCCATGTCCCTTCCTGCTCAAACCTGCCACCGCCACCACACCTGCTATGTGAGGCCAGATTCCTTCCTGGCATCCCAGGCTCCCCACCAGACCTCTACCACCCTCTCCAAGGCCACTCTGCGTTGTCACCAGACTCTGAGCACATGGAGCTGAGCACTCACTAACCCAGCAGTGTTTTCTCATTTTTGTGCCTGCTCTTTCCCCTGCACCCAGCAACTCCTGCACCATGCCTTGCCTGCCCAAATGCCCCCAGCCTGAGACCCAGCCCTGGGTCCCCTGTCTGCAGGCGTTGCAGGCACCCTCCCCTTCTCCAGCTGCATTTTCCTAGTGCTGTGTTGACCCATTTGTACAGACTCGTTATGGGCTTCAAGGTCATAAATATACCTCCCTCCAAGAGCTAGCACAGTGCTTTGCCTGAGTGTCTATGGAGTAAGCAGACTGCTGCCCCCCATGACCACTCCCACACCTAGTGCTCAGGTGACCAGGCACCAGTGCAAGGGCAGGACTCACCACCAGGGAGGCGTTGAATTTGTGGTTCAGGTCGGCCTCCTCGGCAGCCTCCACGAGACTCTGAGGGATAGGAACGTAAAGGGGAAATTTGTAAAACTTCTTAAGGTGAAGAATTGTTTCATCCTCCTGTACATTTTACATCCTCCTCCCACATTATGAATGGGTAAAAGGGACCCTGTAGGTCCTCAGTAAGTTAAAGAGTGTGACCCAGGGGTTCCATGCTTATGCCCAGAAGAACCCAAAACAGGGACTCAAATAAGAACTTGTGTGTGAAATGCTCAGCACAACCCACAACAGCCAAAAGGCACGTTACTAAATAAAATCTGAAGAGGCGACATGCCATGTGATCTCGACTGCAGAACATTCTGGAAGGAAAAAACTAAGGAGACAGTGAAAAGGGGTTGCCAGTGTTTGGGGATTTTTATGGCAGTGAAACTTTTTTGTATGGTACTGTAGTGGAGGATACATGTCACTGCACACATGTCAAAACTCTCAGAATGGACACCAAGTGCAAACCCTAACATGAGCTGTGATAATGACATTGGTTGTAACAATGTACACGGGATGCAGGATGATGACAGGGGTGAGGCTGTGGGTGTGTGGAGACAGGAGGTGAATGGAAACTCTCTCTACTTTCTGCTTACCTTGGCATGAACCTAAAACTACTCTAAAAAATAGCCTATTATTAATAAAATATGTGCATATGTGTATTCAAAGCCAAGAGGTGGAAACCACCCAAATGTCCATCAGCTGATAAATGGATAAACAAAACATGGGATAGTATTCAACCATAAAGGAATGAAATTCTGATGTTACAACACGGATGCACCTTTAAGACATCATGCTAAATAAAATGAGGCAGATACAAAGTCACTTGCATGATTCCATTTGTGCTGAAATATCCAGAGTAGGCAAATCTGGGGGGAGAAAGCAGATGAGTGGCTGCCCGTGGCTGGAGAAAGGGTCTGGGGAGTAACTGTGATGGGTGCAGGGTTTCTGTTTGGGGTGGTGAAAGAGTTCTGGAGTTACACAGAGGGGATGGCTACAACATTGCCAACGGACTTTATGCTAATGAACAATACATTTTACAATGACTGGTCGGTTTTATGTTATGAGTATTTTACCACAATATGCATTTAAAAGCACTGCAGAGTGTCAGGGGAAGTAGGGGCCAGGGAAAGAACCTGGGAGTCACCTGCTCTGGCTTGGTTGGGGGCCAATGCTAAGCCTCTCCGGGCTTATATTTATGCAACTGTGAGGTAGATTCATCCCTGCCTTCCCCACTCTCAGCCCCAATTCCTAAGATATGATGAAGAAGTTCCACAGGGAAAAACTTATTTCAGTGCTGCTTTATAGGACACCTCCCATGGGTACCCTCACAGAAGGTCTGCAGCCGCCACAGACCCCCCACTCCCAGCACCAGGGGCCAGTGCTTGGAGAAAGTCCTTTGAGAAGCACTTATTTTGTTTTCCATGTTTGAGGTTATAGAAGGGCACAGGGACCCTGGAGCTCTAGCCTCTGGGATGTCCCAGGATGGCTTGTTACTCTGTCACCACAAGGACCAGTGCCTGAGCTCAGATGTATTCCACACCCCTGTGTCTGTGCCCAACCCAGAGAGGCTGTTCACATGAGGCTGGCTGATGTGTGGGGAAGTTGTTTCTGCTGGTGCTGGGCTGTGATTCAGAGGCCCAGGATGGGCTCTCAGACCCCTAGATATCTCCTCACTGGTTCCTTATGCTAAGATCCCTTGCCCCCCGGACATACATGGGAATGAGGCCCTAGGGACCTGGCCCTGCATTCTCCGCCCTGTGAGCAGAGGCAGCACACAGGGGAGGCTGCCTTCCCCTGCTGCCCGGCACTGCCCCAGCCTCCCCACCCCAACCGACTGCCAGCCCCAACTCCTCTCTCCTGACTGGTCTTAGGAGTCCTTTAGGGACCACACTGGTCTTGGATGGTCCAACTCCTGGCTGGTGGAGTAGGGACGGCATCTCCCCAACCACACTGTGTCTACTGATTGACACTAACCAGGCCAAGAGCGGGAGACACTTCTGTTTCTATCAGGCCCACCGGGAGGATGTCCAGGATGGAATCGTCCAAGCATGAGCCCTATCAGTGTAGCACCTCTTCTGCCCAGGGGGCCCTCTAAACACTTGGGGGCCATGCAGGGTGGGGCCTTAGAGCTGAATGAGGGAAGGGAAGAGAGGAGAATGGCAGCTGTGCCTGGCTGACCCCAGCGAGCTCTGCTCCCACCCATCCCTCCTCAGGGAACCATCCCTGGGCTCTGTCTCCCTGTGGTGCTCTACACCACTCACATGGTGCTGAGTCCTTCTCAATAATCCTACCATGCAGGCCACTGCTAGCCTGGGGCAGAGCTCCCACACCAGGCCTCCCTTCTTGCTTCCTTCTCATCATTCCCCCTTTTATGAGAATTCTTTTGGCTTTCACAGGGACAAGGCAGAGGCTCGCAAGGTTGGAGAGGTCCATGAGAGTGGGATGGTGCAGGGTCAGGGTGTCAGTGAGGGTCGTTCAGTGTCTCAGGGCTGGAGAGAGATCCCCACAGAACCTGGAGCACCTTGACAGCCTCGACTTTCCTCCTTAGCATGTTCTCCATGTCCTCTGAGAACTTCTTCACCAGCTCCAGGCCGTCTACCTCCTTGATCTTCAGACTGGGCTCCACGTCCTTGTATTTCTGTTCGGGGGACAGTGGGAGAGGCAGCCATGTTGGTTTGCACCGGGATGTTTGCACCTGATTAGGCACTGCCTCCATCCTTTCAGCAGGTGCATCTGGGCACGTGAAGCCTCCTTTACTCAACTAGGAGCTAGGGCAGGGCCTTTTCCTCCTCAGGTGGTCACCCCAGTGCCTCTTTTCAGATGTCCTCTCTATCACAGGGGCTCTGGACACATTGCGGTTAATAGCCTTAACAAGGCAGCAGACCAAGGCTCAGAGAAGTCAGTGAACATGATCAGTCTCCCTGGATGGAGCCAGGGTGCTCAGATGCCCAGACACCCATGTCCACGTTCTTTGTGTAGCTTACAGAGCCTCTGTGACCACCCTGAGCACCAGTCCCCTTTACCCAGCACCCCAGAAGTCGCATCCTGCTATCAGCGTGCCCCTTGCACATGGGTGTGAACCTCAATTCTCACTGTTCCACAGAGCTCAGCAGCTCTACCCATTGACAGCGGCTGCCTGACAAGCTGCCAGTGAGCCCCGGGTTGACCCCCTGGGCCCAGGGGAGACCAGCTCTCACAGAAAATGTGGATCACCAGTGTCTATTAGCCCAGCTCTGAAAACTACTGGCCATGCAACCACAGGGAAGTCACTCAATCCATGTCGTCATCAGTAAGATGTGACATTAACATAGCTTTAGAGAATGCTCTGGAGTGCATAGACCTCACAGAATGCTTGTGCCCCAAATGCCACATCTGTACTGCCCTATCTTCCTCACCTGGGTTGGAGGGAGCAAATGAGAACGTTAAGTGAGGTGGTGCTTAGCAACTAGGAGTGAGTTGTGAAGGGCAGGTGGGGCCTTAGCTGCCATTGCTACACTGGTCTAATGGGGCCACGCCAGGAGCAAAACATTGACCTCCCTGGGCCTCAGTTTGCCCCTCTGAAAATGAAGGGATTGGAGTATGTTTATGTTCAAGGCCCCTTGCAGCACGGGCATGTGGGGGTTCTGCCTCTCTACCAGGAAGGAGATCCTGGCTGACTGCCCCGTGAGCCCTCTGGAAGGGGGTTACTGACCTTCTGCAGCAGCAGGGAGCCTGAGTATTTGGTCACGGTGTTATATAGGTCCTGGCCAAAGGTATCTGCCCACAGCTTCACTCTGGAAGGCAATGAGACCCATGCACGTGTTCACGTCCCGTAGAGACACATGTATGGACGTGCACAGGCACACACACATGCAAAGCAAGCATCTGTACACAGATACTCAGTGATGCATGCACACGCAAACACACAGAGACACATGTGTACACACCTACACACTGACACACACCAGGAAACATTAACCCAAAGAGCTCCTATCCTTCCGCAATGTCCCCAAGGTTGCAATCTTGTCCCTGGGCAGGAGATGTGGGGAAGCTGCTGGGCTCAGTGGCTGCACTGGTGTGTGGAGCACACCCCTAGCATGACCTTCAGCCATGGTTAAGACTAACAAGCCCAGAGCCAAACCTGGCCCAGCCCCCAGGGCTCCGGTTGGAGAGAGGAGGTTGGAGCAGATGGGAGGGAGAGGTGGTGGACAGGTCTAGGCATGGGCAGGGAGGATCCCAAGGATGAAACAGGAACAGCCCTGGTGTGGCTACAGCTTCTCAATGAGTCACACCAGTGTTTCCCTGCTCTAGGCCTTTGGGGTCTGCTGAGTTTTCTGCTGAAGCCTCAGAGACAGTGCAAGGCAAGAGGGTGGGAGGAGAAATTTCTGAACTGCTTCCACTGAGACCAAGGGCAGGGCAGGCAGGGAGGGCACAAGGAGAGACACTTTGGCCTTGGAGTAGGCAGCCTGGGGGAGGAGTGGTTAAGTTAAGGGGGGAAGGCGGCACCACTGTGAGTTTGGCAGTGGTCAGCCAGGCGAAGAGAATTAGAAGAGAATTACAAGCAGAAAGCACAGAAAAGCTTGGAGGCGTCCAGAATGACTTCTAGTTTTCCAGGCTGGGCAGTGTTCATTATTGAACAAAGTTAAGATTCTCAGGAAGGTCAGGGGAAGCCAGGGAGGGTGGAAGGTGATGCGTCTAGCTTGGACCATTTTGAATGTGAGGTCCCCGTTGCAGGGCTACCGAGTGTCACTGGGCAGGTTATGCTCAGCATGACTCTGGAAGGTGCCCATCTCATGGTGCCCCAAATGACACAAACTTAATGCCTCACATGATCTTCTGGAACGACCATGGGCATTGATATGTTGATGTGTGAGTCTAACAGTGAGAGATGGGGCTGGGAATCATTAGCACACAGGTAAGAGTTGAATTTCTGAAGGTGGAAGGGTGTGTAGGACATGTGGCCTGAGAAGGTCTGTGAGTGCCGACAAACACAGGGCACAGCAACAATTTCAGGACCAGGCGGAGGGAAAGCAGCATGTGAAAAAGATAGGGAGACAACTCAAGTGCCCTAAGTGAACCCACAGAGCACAGTGATATGGGAGCTGAGGCACTGGCATTCCAGACAAAGGAGCTGGCCAGTGTCCAATGTGTCCAGAGCATCCAAGGAGATGAGACAGAAGTGCCTGCTGGATGCGGCAATACAGGAGTCTTTGGCAACCTTGCTGAGAACAGATTAGGTAGGTGGGAGGGCAGGTGGCTGGACATGAGAGGCTGAAGGGTCTTTGGGAAGTAAAGACTGAGAAGGAGACCCAGCAGGAGGGAGGAGGAGTTGGGGCCAGGGTCCTGAGCAGAGGGCCGGACCTGAGGGCACAGGTGGGCATGTGTGGCTGTGTGCAGGCTGGCATCTCGGCCATCCCTGGGGTTTCTGCGTAGATGGTCTGGCTCTCCTCCAGGCCGCCCTGGACTTCAGCCATCCGTGCTTGGCCCTCAGCCCGCCCCTGGAGTTTGCCTTCTCTATCAGTTGGGGTATGTTCTGGGGGTGACAACTGTGCTGAACATCTCTCTCATCCACAGACAGGTTTATAGTGTGGGAGTGAGCATCAGGGTGAAAGTGCAGGCCCCTCCCTGAGTTCACAGCTCCTCCACATGTTCACTTACCAGCTTTGGGAATGTGAGGAGCCTGTTTCCTCAAAGGCAAAGTAGGGGTGACATTCCCACCCCAGTGGATGGCCGTGTGCACTAATGATGTCATCCATGACACACCCAGAGCAGTGCCCGGCGGCACACACGGGGAAGTCGTGCAGCCCACAGGGCTGAACACAGGTCAGTGTGCTGCTTGGGTTCCCAGCCCCCACCTCCAATAAGACACATAGATGACTGTGGCCCTGCTGTTCCACTGGGCTCAAGCGGCAGGGCCAGACACAGGCTGGGTGGGTGGGTGGCACTCTTCAGTCTAGAGGCCTCTGCTCCCCTCATGTACTAGAAATTTCCTTACTCAAACCACCAGAGCTGAGGCCTGTATGACACAACCCCAGTAATTTGAGTTTTTTCCAGGGTGCGAATGATACTAGACTCTCCCTGGAGCTGGTCTCAATGCCAGGGTGTAGAATCAAGGTCTAAGGGGGCAGAAAGGTACAGGAAGGGCAGACTGAGGCCATCAAAATCCACATTTTCTTAGCTTCTTAGCAAACCACCTTCTGTCTCATGAGCCGTTTTGTTGGTTTAGAACTGCTCTACCCTTTGGGATGTCAAGATACAGATTTTAACAAATCTCCCAGGGTGCTGCGGTGATCATGCAGCCCAGGGCCCGTCTAGCTGCCTCACAGCATCAATCACCCTGGAAGGAGTGGCCACCCTGCAGGCACTCCAGAGCCACTGGCCTTGCCAAGAGGCATGTGAGCTCCGTGGTCAGGTCTGCTTGAAGCCATCTGGCTTCTGGGGAGGGGCAGGGGTGGCTGGGATTCCAAAGCCAGCAGAGGTTCTGGGAGGAGAGGAGGTGAATAAAAAAAAGGTCCTTGCGGCAAGAGGGGGTTGCGACATTGCAACCTTGGGAGAACCTGGAGCAAGGGCTGAGCAGGAGAGGGGCTTCGGGAAGGAAGCAGGGACAGTCAGAGGGGTTTTCTGGGGTGGGGGTAACTCTGATGCTTACGTTTCCAGAGGAATCCCAGTCTGTCCCCATGTGGGGGACAGGGAGGTGCCGAGCAGCAGCAGGAGCCAGAGGATGGCTGCAGCCTTCTGCAGGAGAGCCCAGGCCACCAGCTGCTGTTGCCAGGGAATCCTGCTGGGGGTGCAGCTGGAGTTTGAGTAGAAGCTGAGGGGGCCAGGCATGGTGCTCCCACCAAGGTTGGGGTGCAGGGAGAGAATAGATGAGCCTCAGACCATAGCGTGGTCTGTCTGCTCCCCAGACCCCTGGGACGTCCCCTCGCCTTCTGCCTTCTGGGCCCTGGGGAGCCAGGGCTGCCCAGCCTCTTAGCCAGGTCCTATGGGGAGGGCTTCTCTCTAGCCTGCAGCTGTGGCTCTTGGAGAAGGACTGAGTGAGGGAGAGTTGTGACAAAATGAACCCCTTTAATCCGCCAGGCTCTCCTCTAATCCCAGCCTGGCAGCAGAGAGGAGGGGTTGGCAGGAGGTATGGGGAGTGACCTCAGCAGGATTACCCTGCCAGCAGTGCCTTTCCTTAGGGGTCAGAGCACACACTTCTGTTTTAAAGAGGCAGTGAGAGGAGGATGCAGTGGCTCTGTCCAGAGGACAATAGCTGGGTTCATACAAGATTGACCAAGAGCTGTAACAAATCCTCTCCGTGACCCTCGGAGCAATCCTGAGAAAGTGGTGTCATTAGCCCTCTTGGCAGGGGTTCTCAAGTCCCAGGGAGGCCCAGAGAGTTAAGACTCCAGTTCCTGTTCCAGGCCTGGTGTCTTCTGTCCAGGTTAGAGAGAAGGCCAGCAGCCCTGGCCCCTGCCCTCAGTGTGTGCCCCTGCTCACAGTCTGGGATGGGGACACATTTGCTGCAAAACCCATGAAGCTTCGGGGCCTCACTCACAGGGACTTCTCCCTTTTCTGGGAGGACGCCCTACCGATGTATTCATATGGCCCAAGGTTTTTGAAAAACATGTAAGACAGTTGGCCCATAATTGGTTAAGACTGCGTGTTTTTCCATCCTGACTTCTCTGTGTGACTGTCCCTTCACTGGACAATGTCAGGGTGGCTGTTGGCCTTGGGGAGGGTGTCAGCTAAAGAAGAGATAAGTTGGGGAGACATTTATTTGGGACATAGTGGAATATATTTATGCAGTTTTCAGTCCCTTCCTCGATAGACACGTTATCTGCCACTGACCCAGTGTAGTAAGGTGACATGCAGGTGAGCTTGGCCTACCAACGGCAGTAGGTGGTGGGGAGAGCCGAATCACTGAGCCAGGAGCCAGTTGGTGGAAAATTCTGGCAGAGATCAAACATCAAAGTGTTAGCAGCAGATTTGGTTCTCATCAAGGCCTAACCAAGACAGAAGTTCTCTCTTGTGAGGAAAATAATGTAGTTGATATTGAATGAATATAATTACAAACACACCACACAGAGCTTTCTTTTCTGATGGAATTATGCAAAATGGAATGGATCAACATTCCTGTGTCTGTACGCCCAAATCTGGGAGCAGCGCAGTCCGTGTATCAGATTGCTTCTCAGCGTAAGGGATGCCTTGTGGCTTGACAAAATCTGGTGGTTCCAACAAAATGGTACGCAGAACTGCCACCAACGCAGTGAAAGGCTTGAAGAAGCAAGTGTTCCAGTGACAAAACGCCTACATACATTCATCAATAAATCAATGTTGTGGTATCAGAGTAATCTGGCTACGCAGTTACAGGGCTCCATACGCCGGGGCAGCCATTTTTAAAGGCATTTGAATGGTTCCTATGAATGCCTGAATTTCAGATTAATTTTGCATTTTTTTGAGACTATAAATAAAACGAATTTGGAAAAAACACTACAGAGGTGTGTTGGGCAATTACTAAAAAGAATACGTCATTTCTCAAGGCTTTGTGATTTGGGTGGTGCTTACCAGCTTCTTAAAATTTGTAATTAGTGGCTCGGCGCCTGTGGCTCCAGCGGCTAAGGCGCCAGCCACATACACCTGAGCTGGCAGGTTCGAATCCAGGCCAGGCCTGGGCCTGCCAAACAACAATGATGGCTGCAACCAAAAAATAGTCGGGCATTGTTTCAGGTGCCTGTAGTCTCAGCTACTTGAGGCGGAGGCAAGAGAATCACTTGAGCCCAGGAGTTGGAGGTTGCTGTGAGCGGTGATGCCGCAGCACTCTACCCAGGATGACAGCTTGAGGCTCTGTCTCAAAAAAAAAAAAATTGTAATTAGTAATTATTTTTAAAACTGAATAAATAGGTGTCTATTTTTCAATTTTTTGTGGTGGCAAAATACATGGCATAGAATTTATCATCCTAACCATTTTTTAGTATACAGTTCAGTGTTATTAAATACGATCATAATGTTGTTCAATCATTACCAACATCCATCTCAAATACTTTTTTTATCTTGTAAAACTGAAACTCCCCACTTCCCTCTCCCCGAAGCTCCTGGCAACCACCCTTCTACTTCCTGTCGCTGCGATTTAGACTATGTCGAATCCCTCATATAAGTGGCATCACACAGTATTTGTCCTTTGGTGACTGGCTCATTTCACTTAGCACATTGTCCTTAAGGTTCATCCACGTGGCAACACGTATCAGAATTTCCCTCCTTTCTCAGGCTGGACCATATTCCATTGTATGTACAGACCACATTTCATTCATCGATCAGTGGCCCCTGGGGCGCTGCCTCCTCTTAGCTATGGTGAACACGAATGTGCAAATATCTCTTCAAGACCCTGTCTTTGGTAATAAATATTCACTTTTATATCTATATTTGTGTTTGTAATTTGTATTCGTTTTCTTGTATAGATGATTACCCCCAAGTCATACAAGCTTCTCCCCACACGGCTCTAGCACCTGCCCTTCAAAGTCTCTGACTCATCCAACGTGTTAAGCGTGAGAACTGGGTAGGAAGCACCTTCCTCGCTTACTCTGCTCATGTCACAGTCACGGCGGTGTCTGTGACATGGCCCGGGGACTCACAGCCCCTTAGACATGCTTCAGAACCTCTGGAAGTACTGGCAAAGAAAAACACTGATATTAGAATGGCGGGTAATTTCATATTGTATCTTTTAGAAAGATCTATGAAAGGATTGCACACTGTGAGTGTGCCCCAACCTGTCATACAGAGAAAAATCCCTTTTAAATGACTCAAACTTACTGCAGTGCATGCCTTGCTGACTCTCAAATTCTCGTTCTCAGGACCTTGGCTCCTCTTACCACATAACTGTGAAACATCAGAGTGATGCTGGTGATGAGTGGGAGGTGGTGGGGAGGGCAGAGGGCTTTAGAGGAGAATAACTTCAGGGAAGGGATTTCTTAGCAGGAATAAGATGCAGCTGGGGCATAGAACTATGGGAATTCTCAGTCCTTAAGTTAGATCTTTGTAACTCAGAACCTTCAGGGGCTCATTCGTCTATTCCCTTCACTGTAGGCTGGGGTGGCGAATCATTCACACCAGCCAGGAGGGAATACATGTTGTGTTTTTATTTCAGGAGTTATGAGAGAAAGGCCATTCCAAGTTTATCTTGGTTAGTCTTTCCCTTGTCACAAATTCTGACTGCAATTCTGGCAGGCCCAGCAGGGAAGGCTGTGTTGCACAAAGTGTCAGCCAGGGCAGCGCAACCCGGAGCCTGTAGTGTAGCTGGTGAAGGACTGTGGCTGTCACTGGGGAACTTGGCTGGTGTGGAGGGCAAGGGGCTCAGCTTTCATCTGTGTGGGCTGCTTGGGCTTTCTCATGGCAGGGTGCCTGGGCTCCCAGATTAGAAGAGAATAAAGTAGAAGCTGTATTTCCTTTTGTGATCTGGCCTTGAAAGTCCCATAGCATCACTTCCGCTGTATCCTGTTGGTTAGCCAGTCTCTAATCTGGCCCAGGCTCTAAGGAAGGAGATGTAGATCCTGCTTCCTAATGGGGAGAGTGTCAAAGATTTGCCAATGTTTTAAAACCAAGATAGAGGAAGCTGGTAGGGCTGGGGTCAGGGAGGAGAGAAAGAAGCCGCGGGAGGTGAATCTTAGGAAAGGCAGGTCATAACTAGATTATGAAGGGATTGCATTAATACTTTCTGAAGTTTTACTTAAGTCTCAACAGCTACAACTCAAGGTCCACTGGAAAATAGTGATTTATGAGTAAGGGATGGGGAGATGGGAAGGAAAGGGAACAAAAAGCGACAGTTACGAGACAGCCCAGTATTTGAACGAACTCCTTTGTGCACGGACCACAACCTCATGTCTTTGCCCCTAACTCGGAGAAAGCTGCTCAGTGAGAAAGTTTCTGGGCCCCACTGCAGAGAATTACATGTGTCCTGCTCTGGCCTCCCTCTGTCCCTCACAGAGCCCTATTTTCCTTGTGTGGGCCCTGCCCATGTGTACTGGGCCCATGCGCTAGTCTCGGTCTTATTCCTCTCTGGGCTCTCCTCGTCTGAGTGATGGCAGGACAGACAAGTGGAACGGAGCAGGGCTCCAGCCCTCATTCTCCATCAGATCATGGCCGGCAGGTGTTCTCACCTTTCCATGCCTGTTGTTCCTTCATTCCTTCCATGAATAATAACATCATATCCAAGCTATGTCCAAGGCACCATGTCCCAGCCCAGCTTCCCCTCTGGTCACTGAACACCTCCCCTTTCTGGTCAGGAGATGAGTGAAGATCAAATGAGCAACATCCATGTATGTTGTTGATATCGTAATGGGTTGTGATATTATGATATAATAAGAAGTGCATACTTCATCTTCATCGCTGGTTCCTGGCTCAGAGCTCCCAGCCCCTGGGATTTCCTGCCTGTCTTCTGTCACTCACGGGCTCCTTTCAACCACATGTGCTCAAGGGGTGACTTGTGAAGGGTGGGGCTGCCAGAGGAACCCACCTGTGGTCAGAGGCTGGGAATTTCACCCCTCTGGGACCTCCGGGGAGTGGGGAGGGGCTGGAGATTGACTTGATTGCCAGTGACCAATGATTTAGTCAATAGTGCTTTTGTCATGAAGCCTCCGTGAGAACCCCAGAGGAGGGGGTTCGGGGAGCTCTTGGGGACCCAACACCTCCCCTTACACCTCTCTTCTGTCTGACTGCTCCTGAGTTGGATTCTTTTAAATAAGCCAGTAAACATAAATAAGTGTTCCCCGGAGTTTTGTGAACTGTTCTAGCAAATCATCAATCCCAAGGAGGAGTTTGTGAGAACTCCTGCTTTATGGCTGGTGGTGAGAAGT